ATGAAGCTGAAATGAAGCTGAAATGAAGCCGACATGGAGCAGGGATCTCCAGCTCTTCTATGGGCTGCTGTCCTCCCTCCTTCTATACAACTGCTTCAGAATGAATATATCTGAGTTTGGCATGATAGCACAGGGAAACATCTAAAACCTGCAGTACAGCGGCCCGAAGGGCAGCAGAGTGTGAGATCCCCGACCCAGAACCTTTGTCTCTATCGTTTTAAGGGCTGAAAGTCTCTCCGGCCCTTTAAGACGCGACAGCCTCTGCTAACGCGTCCTGATGGATGGATCTCCAGGATCTCCGTTATGATAAAACACTCCTTGTTATCATACAAAAACCGTAATGCATTTGGATCTTTTTTTTTCTCCCCATAAAAAGATACACTATCTGCTGCCTTTTTTCAGGAGAACAAAGTCCCGGTCTGTTGGAGGTGCTTTCAAGGCACGGTGGGTAATTGCGGTATTTAATGATAATTGACTCTAATGACCAGATAGCTTTCTCTAATCTTCAGAGCAAATCTTTTCCTCAGGCTGGGACTGAGCTCTGTGGAATCCCAGCCCAGCAGAGTCCAGCGGTGAAAACAGAAAGCTCCCGGCCGGCCTACAGACGATCGGACTGAGGTTGTCCAGGCTCACCTGGACAGTGATGCTGGCCTGGGCGGCGTCCTCGCAGTCCCTCAGCAGCGTGTAGGTGCACCGGCCGGGGAAGTAGTAGTAGAGACCATCAAAGGTCTCAAAGTTGTACTGGCCCCATGTCCTGCATGCCATCTCCCTCTCAAAGCCCGGATTTGGAACTGGGAAGAGGAAGATGAAAAGGCGTGACTGGGAAGAGATTCCAGGCTCTGAATGAGCCGCCGGTGTCCAGGAAAACCTGGAAATGTAGCTTTATCATCAGCCCAACAAAAGATCCTGTAACTAAAGCTAACATGTGGTTTATCAAATGGGTTTCTATGAGTCCAGTAACCCGGGAAAATACTAGCCGCTAAATTTACGACTGTGGAAAAAAACATCTGATGTCTTCTGGCTTTCTGCCTTTATTTTTTTTTTCTGAAAACCAGACCCGTCCTGCAGATCATGTCGGAATGTTTTACACTTGAAACATGGCGTGAGATACAATTAACAAATTGATGGTTAAAAAGCAGGAATCTAAACCTCTGGATCTCAAACTATTAGATATAATAAACACAAGTGGTGAAAATGGTGGTCAGCCAGATTATAAAGTCTTCCTTTGTCTAAATGTGCTACAAAACTATTAATTTAGGTATAAAACAAACTAAAACAAATCTATTGAGATTCAACAAAAAGGCAAATGTAGGTGTTTGAATTAGATTTGAAAAAGATTCAATATCAACAGTACAATACATCTGTTTTAGTAGCAAACTGTTGAGTCAGCAAGAAAATATCCATAAATTAAGGGCATACATTTTTTTTTGTGAACTCAACTGATGCGTTTAGGGGTCTAAGCAGCAATTAAATGGAGGCCCGGAAAATTGACTTTACCTGTCTGACATCTGTGTCCGGTGGCCTGATACAAGCTGCAGTCGCATGAAGACGAGCCAGAGCACTGTCCTCCATTCAGACACGCCAACTCACAGGGCTCCCCTGGTGCAGAAGAATCATAATAATAATTATAAAAATGATGATAATCACCATAATAATAACCATAATGATGATTAAAAACAATAGTAATAACAATAATAATAATAATAATAATAATAATAATAATAATAATAATAATAA